TTTTTTTTGTGTGCGTGTTCGGCCCGAACGGCCGAACGCCTTCCAAAGGGGTCCCGTACGTTCGGGCGTCCAGGTTCGGGCGTTCGGCCCGTCCCGAACACCGGCAACCCTGAGAACAACTATATATAGTGTTTTTTTTTTTTTTTTTTTTTCTTTGGCCGGGCGCCCGGGCAAGTGGTATAAGACCACTCTGGTAAGGTAGATAAATGCACCCCATCGGATGGACTCCATACCCGAGCACTGTGCACAAAAAGAAGTGACAGCGGTAGAAAACGGAGCAAGAGGACAGAAAAAGAAGAGGAGAAGTGAGGTTGACCACAGCTGGAGGCATGTACTGATGAGTGTCAAGAAAAAAAAAAATCAATATTAGATTCTCCCCTCAAAGACGGAGAATGTCATGCTTCAGCTGTTGTAAAAGAGAGATTAAACCACCACTACTTGGCCCAGCTATCGATGCTGAGCCTGAAAACGGACTGCGCCCCGTATCGTGCCGACCCGCCAGCGCAACAAAAAAGAATTGTTTAGGCTGGCGGCACCAGCCTTTGAGGGCCGGTACCCCAGGGCCCCAGCCTCCGGAAGGAGCAGGGGGGCCCGAGCCTCCGGAAGGTGCGGGGCGTTAAAGACAACGCCCTGCGGCCGATTACTGGTGGTTTAATATGGGACTCGCTGCACTACTCAAGTATCTTGAGAAACCAAGAGTGGTTTAATATGGGACTCGCTGCACTACTCAAGTATCTTGAGAAACCAAGAGTTCATCACCGCTGCACCAACGGTTGATGCTGCGTCCTGAATTTCCATTCAAGAGCTGTCAGATCACTCTTGAAAACGTCCCTTCGTGCAATGAGAGTTGTCCTCCAGTCTCGGTGGAGGAATCATCGCTGCCCTGTGGTGTAGTGTCTTTTCAGTTGCGTGAACTTCTGTCCGACAGTCAAGAATGCTCACGAGAGTCGAGAGTCCGGAGTAAGTGGAACAAAGACAGCACTTGATGCCAATCCAGGAGTCTGACAGCTCCAGACGTACGCTTGAAAGTTTTCATGGGTCAAGCGTAGTGCAGGGTGGCCCTATGCTGCTACTATTGACAAACAAACAAGGGAGAATTGCAGACAAACCCGTTTCAATTTGGAGAAGTATAGTTGCAAATATACTGGTACCGTTCCGCCTGCATGCACCTGCGTACGCCTGTGTATGCCTGTGTAAGCCTGTGTACGCCCCTGTGTAAGCCTGCGTACGCCCGTGTATTCTGACCGTGTACACCCGTGTATTAAGACCGTGTATTGTGACAACGATGCAGGTCTCGTATTAGAAGAAAGGGGTAACTTCGGCGCAGTCACGAAAATAGCCTGTGATTCCATTCGAAACACCGATTTCGCACTTCAGTCAGGGGCCGAGTTTCAATTGCAGTTGAAACTCCCTCGTATATCCACGAACAGCAGATTAAAAAAAAAAAAAAAGCATCCCTGATGCTGTGATTGCGGTCCGATACAGGATGTTACAGTATTTGTCCTGGGTCCTCACATACTGTCCAGATACATTCCTTAAAGCACTGGTGTAACTTCCACCTAAGTGGATTCATAGTTCCTGGTTTCTTTTCTTTTTTTTTTCTCTTTTTCTTTCCTTGGCCTCCATGATCCCTCTGAATTGCGTACGGCGTCCCCTCCACGCCCGGTGACATCTGGGCCGTGGCCAATCTAGTATTGGCCGAGACATCTGGGCCGTGCCTAATCTGGGGTGTGGCCGAGACATCTGGGTCGTGGCCAATCTGGGGTGTGTCCGAGACATCTGGGCCGTGGCCAATCTGGGTTGTGTCCGAGACATCTGGGCCGTGGCCAGTCAGGGTGTGGCCGAAACATCTCGGCCGTAGCCCAACCATGGGGCTGTATTTTTTTATTTTTTTTTTCCAGCCGTGGCGCACGACCGAAAAAAAAAAGACCCAAAAAAAAAAAGAAGAAGAAAGAAAGAAATGGCCGTGGCACGGCACACGATGAAAAAAAAAGAAAAAAAAAAGGCCATGTGCCTAACTGAACTGCTAGAAAAAGCCAGCCCGAGTTTCAAACTGCTAAAACGCAGTTTTAAATGCAATTGAAACTCGGGCCCTGACTAAACTGCTAAAATGCAGTTTCAAATGCAATTACAAACTGTAACCCTGACTGCGCCGTAGTTTTGTCTAGAAGAAATCAGTGCCCGTCCCGTGACCGCTGACTTGAGTGGCTCGTCATACCCCCCTGCATCCGTGATCAGCCAGTCATGGTGACCGGCCACATGCTTTTCGCCCCCTTACGGGACCCCCTTGGACGGGGAAAGGCGGGAAGGGGGTGGTGCAGGGGGGTCTATGCCCCCACAAAGTAAAATGTGAAAAAAAAAAGAAGAAAAAAAGGCGCCACTTCGACGGGGGTTAGAAGTGTTTACAATTTTTTTTTTTGGTTGCAGGGGGGGAGGGAATAGGGGGAGAGGGTTGGTTGATTTATTGCTTGATTGATTGATTAATCCATTGATTGATTGATTAATCCATTGATTGATAGATTGATTGATTGATTGATTGATTGATTGATTGATTGGTTGATTATTCATTTGTTGATTAGTTGATTATGTGATTGATTGAGTGATTGGAAAAAAAAAAAAAAAGATCTATTGATTTATTGGTTGATTGATTGGTTAATTAATTGATTGATTGATTTCTCGGTGGCAGGGTGGTCGCTACCCCCCCCGGCACACACACACACACACACACACACACACACAAACACACACAAAAACATGCACTTTTTTTTTCTTCTTTTTTTCATTTTTTTATTGATTGATCGATTGATCCATTGATAGATTGATTGATTGATTGATTGATTGATTGACTGATTGTTTGATTGATTGATTGACTGATTGATTGATTGATTGATTGATTGATTGATTGATTGATGGCAGGGGCGTTGCCACCACCCCCCTGCACGCACACACGCACACGCACGCACACAAACACACAGACACACACACACACACACACGAGTTTAAAAAAATTGATTTTTAAAAAAGTCAAAAATTCCAGAAAAACAGGGGGGGATCCCTGGAAGCCTCCTCCCCATCCTTTTGCGGCAAAACAGAACCCCACCACCAGCCAAAAAATTTTTTTTGGCCTATGCCAGTGGCATTGACCGGTGATCATGACCGATAAACGGTCTCCAGCCAGTGGCAGCCACAGACTCCTGACCATGACTGGCAGAAATACCAAATTTTTTAATTTTCTAAGAAGATTCACCCGTCGTTTTCATGTTTGCGACGTATCGGTCCACCTATGTATTGTGACAAATACATACACAGGTTTCATATTGACAGAAATATCGTCTTTAAAATTTAAAGCTTCTGGCCAGATTTACGGGTAGCTTTACAGGGCGGCACCTTTGATTGCAACAGAGGACTCGTAGGCCTTGGAGAGCCTACCTCAGGCGAGGAGGTCGTATGCCTAGGAGAGCTTGCCTCAGCCTAGGTGGATGGGTCCTCTATTACAAAAGAAGGTACCAGTGGTCAATCTGTGTACTATTACTAGACATTTTTCAAAAAACGGTATTTCTGCACCATTCAGGTGTATTTGCCACAGATGGCCCTTGTCAAGGATCTGTCTTCCTAGGAGTTCGCGGTCTGGGGTCATCAGTGTGGGCGCAGCGCTACCAGGAGCGCTGGGCCCGGTTGGAATTGGTTTGGCGGCGGCGTTTTCACACATCACGGCAAGTTGGGCGCGGGGGCGGGTTGCGATGAGGAGCGTTCACATGGAAGCCGGGTACGGTGCACAAGCGATGGGCATGACGGGTAGCAGGTGGGTATGGCGGTTGCTGTACGTTGTGTTTTGGGATATCGGAAGTGGATTGCACAGGTGGGAATGACAGCGTGATTGTAGGAGGAGAGGGAGGCGGAGGGGGAGCGTTGCGCCCGGCCGGAACCGGTTTGGCGGCGGCGTTTTCACACATCACGGTAAGTTGGGCGCGGGGGCGGGTTGCAATGAGGCGCGTTCACACGGACGCCGAGTACGGTGCACAAGCGATGGGCATGGCGGGTAGCAGGTGAGTATGGCGGTTGCTGTACGTTGTGTTTTGGGATATCGGAAGTGGATTGCGCAGGTGGGAATGACAGCGAGATTGTAGGAGGAGAGGGAGGCATGGGGGGAAAGTTCGCGCTCTAGCAGCAGCCTAACCGGGAACAGCAGTAATATCCGCCGTCTTCATCCGATGAGCGGCTCCGGTGGCAGTATGGACAGCATCTTTGCCGATTGGGATGAGAGTATTGGGCTCGAACTACAAAAGGAGCGCTATGTCTGCGAGGGAACTGCTGCCGCTGCAGTTGATATCGGAAGATCGGGTACTTCTCAATCGTCTGCCATTTATGCCCCCTGATTTTCTTCCTTTCTGATAAGATGGAGGCGCCTCACGTAGTTGTCGGGCAGCTTCCTGGGAGGTCCGGACTTCCCGTGGACCCTTGTCGGCGGGTTCGACAAGGCTGTTTCACACCATTCTTAGGCTTGTCATGAGCTGGGGGTGGCCTGGTAATGCTTTCGTGTCGCTAGCCGAGAATATCAAGGGTGTTTCGTGCGCCGTGAATGCTAGCAGGTGATGGGCGAAGGAAGGTATACTACCTTCTCTTCCGAAGGCGGGCAGGGGTTGGGTTGGGGCTGATAAGACTGGGAGGAAGGCGACCGGTGGGGGGGCTATTGTGGAAGACGGCAGGGGGAGAAGATCTTCAAACGGGTAAAGCTTCATTACCCTTGTTTCATCATCCAAGTACGGCCGACGGTATGGTTTCAGAGCATGCATATCCTTCATCTTACTGCTGTGTCATGTCTCTTCTTCGTTTTGTCATAATTGAAGAAGAAATCTATGGTGGTGGGAAGGGTAGGCTGTTTTTTTGGCGTCGGAGTATGTTGTATCTGCAATTTTAGTGATCTGTTCCGCCGTTTCATCATATTCAGAAATTGGTCGGGTTTTTGTGCGAACTAATGTTTTAGATAATTTCTGATCAACAGGTTTACGTTGACTGCTTCTTTGGCGAGTGGTCAGATATTCGTTTTTGATACACTTTGATATTGCTTGATGCGATTTTTGGTGATTTTCTCTCTTGTTACATAGCTGTTATCCTCAATAATCATTTCTTACCACGATCAAAACGACGATCAGAATTACTCTCTGGATTTTTCTTTTAAAGACGGCCTATGTTTACTATTACGATCAGACTTGTTTCTGATAGATTCGCAATCAGATTCTGAGTAACGATTCCTAACGATTCCTAATTTGAAATTCGTAATCTCTGATCAAGACTCCTACTCTATTTCTGATCAAGATCATAAATCTAAAAATCGTATCTTCTGAGCAAGATTCCTCACCTGAAATTCGTAAAGTTTTGAAATTACATGACTCAAAATTTGAATTACAAGGGTTACAAACTGGTCGTCTCAGAGTGGAATTGATAACCTATTAGTTTTTTTTTTTTTGTTTTTTTTTTTCTTCTGTCTGAGGGATCTTCCAAAAGTAGGTGGGTGGACTGGATCTGCTATGTAGTCGGATGGTTGGTGTGGCTGGTAGGTCAGGAGGATTCTGCTGGGAAGACTCAGGCCGGTGCTGGAGTTGAGGCTCTGTAACCTGGGTAGGAGCTTGAGGCCTGGGGAGTTATGCCTGTTTTGTGTGGCATAACCAATGAGTTCGACGAAGTCATTGCCGGGGGTGTTCCCCTGTAACTGTGGGGCCTTATGACTTCTGAGGAGTAGTGAAGGGTGGAAGACACTTCTCTCCGTGAGAACAAGGTGGATCGGTTCTGGGGTAGCGGTGGCGCCCTGTCACCCTAGCATGAGGGGTTTTGAGATCCGCCACGTTTTTGCACGAGGACTGACGGTCTCTACCTTCCCTTCGTTTGCTTAGCAGGTCCCAGTCTCCTTTGCTTCTGAATATTTTCTGAATATGGTTATAGAATTCTTAGAATTTTTTGGAACTTTCAAAAAACGTTGCAATCTGTTCTTAAAAAAGGGGGGTGGGTGGATGGTTGTTTTGTCCTAAAAATGTCCTTCAGATTCTGGGGATTCCTAACAAACTCTTTTCTAGATAGTCTCAAGGCTGTTATACTCGGTGACCTGCGGCTGTTCTATGCCAGAACAACGCTGGCCGGTGCTGGGGTGTTGCCCTGTAACCTGCTGATGCAGGAGCATGAGGCCTGGTAGAGAGATCTGGGGGTGCTTTGGGGTGGGCACTTCACGGGACACCCAAGGGTGGCTGCTGAGACGACGCTGGCCGGAGCTGGGGTGAGTTGCATTGCCCTGTAACCCAGCAGGATGAGGGGGTGTGAGGCCTAGATGAGCTCGGCAGGGAGTAGGACAGTGTGGGATAACTAGGGAAGGTTTTGACAGGGATTTCATGGGTCTTGGGGCATTAATAGGACCTCTGCAGTCTCTTCTCATGTAAGTTTTCTCAGAGGGTTTCCAGCCAAAGCGGGGTGATGGCCCTGGTACTGCAAGAAAGGGATTGAGGGGAGTGAAGGAAAGATACCTAGCATCTTGCTAGTGAAGGGGCTAGCTGGTAGGATGGAAATAGGGCATAGCAGCAGCAGAGATGGCTGCTTTGCTGCAGTAAGTCTTGCCGGAGTGAGGTAAAGAGGACTGATGGCGGGTCTCAAAAAAGTGGTGGTTTCAGCTCTGATCTTGTTTTCCTAATTTTTCTTTTTCTTTTCGTAATTCCTGAACTCTTCTTGAATTTCTCAGACAAGGGGTGAGTGGGATAAGTAGATGGTTGGATATCAAGTGTCCTATGAGTGAGGGGGTTAGCTCGTAGGATGGAAAGAGGGTACAGCAGCAGTGGAGATAATGGCAGCAGCAGTGGAGATGGTGGCTCCGCTGTAGTAAGTCTTGCCGAGGGAGGTAAAGAGGATTGAAGGGGGGTTTCTGAGTTATTTCTGAAGTTTTGCCTAATTCTGTATAAAAACGGTAATGACATAAGAAGAGAATAAGGAGAGTGGGAGAAGATGGTGGGTTACCACGCGTCCTTACCAGTGAGGTACCTAGCTGGTAGGATGGGAGTACGGTATAGCAGCAGCAGAGATGGTGGCTCCGCTACAGTCAGTCTTGCCGGAGGGAGGTAAAAGTGGATTGATGGGGGTTCTTCTGAGTCGTTTCTGAATTATGAAGTTGTGGTAGTCATTCTCTGAGCCAAAGCCGGGTAATGGTCCCGGTATCTCAATTTCAAAATTCTATTCTTAGGCAAATTGGTTTTTTAGTAGGTCCCTAGTCTCATTTTCAGGAATTTCTTGACAAGTCTTCTGAATGTACTCGTTATGGGACACTGGGCCCGGTTCCCGGTTCGTGCCACTTTGTGATGATATGGTTGTATCTATGGGACGCTGGACCTGGTTTCCAGCAGGTGTTGCTCCCCACCAATAGATGGAGCATTAAAAAAAAAAAGAAAAAAAAAAGGTGTATTTGCCACAATAAATGGGTGGACCTGTATATGTGCTAAGATATTTCTCCAAACGGGTATGTCTGCAATTTGCCAAAGAAGGAAACTATGGCCGCGCCGAGGGGGAGGAGGAGGAGGGGAGGGGGGGGAAGGGGGGGCGAGGAAAGGTTAGTTTCAAATTGGACCAATAGGCGGGGAAAAAAAAAAACAAAAGAAAACAAAAAAAAAACAAAACTAAATGGCAGTTTTTTTTTCAGGGAGGCACTTTAGAATGCGCAAAAAGACCAAAAAATAAAAAAAATAGCTTTGTTTTTTCCCTTGGCCTTTTTCCTTAAACTCAGGCCCTCTGCATCTGATGGCCGACCCTTGCCTTTACCGTGACCACAAGGCACACACATGTCACATGACTGGCCTAGCTCAGTTGGTATCTTGGTACACCCACAAACTGTTGAAATACCGACCCAAGATCAAATCGAGATACTATAAAAGGACCGGAATATGGGGTCTCGCTGCACTACTCTCCGGAATCTCCACTCTCCGAAAAATTGGAGAGTTGGTGGAGAGCTGGGAGAAGCTCTCCGAATTCGTGAACCCAGCTGCGCGTAACTATCCACTCTCTGAACTTTTTTTTACTTTTTTTTAATCCACTCTCAGAACTCCAAGTGCACAAGCAGACAGGGTGACATCGTGACATCTATCCTGAGGTTTTTGAGAGGTGGAATCGGATAGTGGAGAGTAGTGCAGCAATCAAAGACCCTCGCCACAGCACTCTCGAAATGTGCAAAATGAAAATGAACTTCCCGCTAGAACATGGCCAGATGAGCCGGCCAAATTTTCGTCTTTTTGACATTTCGAGAGTGGTGTGGCAAGGCTCAAATACTCTCCGAATTTGGAGAGTGGAGAATAGTGCAGTGAGACCCATAATCATTCTAAATTACCAGGGGCTGGTCAGGTCAATCATGATATATCAGGGCCTTTACCTGTTCAAGGAAAAAACAACAAAAGAGAAAGAGGAAGAGGAGAAGGGAAGGAGAAGGAAAACAAGGGGGGTCCCAGGGGGGAACACAAAAACTACCCCATTTGTTTCTTTGTTGTCTTTTCAAACTAGGGGCCTGACTGACATGCAGGTGTGTGTTTTTCTTGCCTGTTCGAAGCTCAAAAAAACTTGATGTTTTTGGTCAGGCGCTCGTGCTTACCTCAGCTGCCCTTTCAATCCTTTGGTTTCCTTTATCCGTGCATTATCCGTACATTATCTGGAATGGAGCTTAATCTGACATGTCTGAGATGCAATTGGGGATGGGAGGCTACGGAGCATTTATGGCTACTCTGCCCTCTTGCAGACGAGCTATGGATATGGTGGAAGCTGCAATGGGAGGCAGGAGAAGGAGCTAAATGGGAATGGACGGATGATTGGATTTTATTTGTTCTGCCACTTCCCAATGCTAAGTTTTCGGATGAATGGGGATATGTGGTAATAGTCTGCAGAGGGATACTTTTGGAGACAATTCCGAAAGCACGGAATGCTGTGGTCTTCCAAAAAGACCCGATACCAATACAACAGCAGATTTGTATGGCTAAGGCGATGCTCAGACTTACACTTTTGACAGAATGGAGAAAATAGAAGCATAAAGCAGGGGGGGGGTTGTTTTGGTTTCGAAAGGTCTGGACTGGGAAAGGGTTTCTAGAATCAAATAGCTCAGAAGGAATTTCAAAATTGTTGATATAAAAGTGGCTAATTCAGTTCCAGATGCAGATAGTCGCCTGTAGGCTGGCATACTATTTTTTCCAGAGGGGAAATTGTTGATTTCTAAGTGGCTAAGCGACTAATTTAGCACATAGGCTTTCTAGGGCATGCTCTTGGGAGTACACCAGTCTGCGTACCTTACATTTTACAGTGCTTCAAGAGTATTTTTGAGAAGCAACTAAGGAATGGATTAAACAAGGGACGCTGGACCCAGTTTCCAGCAAAGGTGACACGGGGTTGAATTGTGGGGTCCCCGGCTCCAATGATCCGACTTTCGACCATAAAGACACAAGCTTCTCAAAAAAAGAAAAAAAAAAAGAAAAAAAAAAAAACTTGATGCGGCTGTAGTTGGCTCATTTACTGACAAGTTGCGACAACATGCAGTCTTTTGTTTTCAATAGTAGCCAGCATTATTGCTGGAGATTACGCGCCATAAAGACACAGAGGAAGCTTATAGACACGAAAATAGGGAGCTGATGTGAGCTTGCAGAGTGAAGAATGAGGGACATCACAGAAATAGGGAGCTCAACTGAGCTAATATAAAAACAGAAGAGTTAATATGCAGCCGAGGAGGTATAGAAACAGATGAAATCCAGCGGCCTAACTCAGTTGGTAAGGCTCGCAAGTGGCATTCAGGAGGTCGTGGGTTCAGTCCCCATTGGCCTCATGTACCTTCCTGGGCATGCTCCACCTAGAGATAGACCACGGGATCCCCCGATTGGCATTTAGCAGAGTCTGCTGATGTTCATAGGGGAGGGGACCTGAGGGGAGGCACAGGGATTGGTCCTGTTGGCATGGTCCCTGATGCTTCCCCCGATTGGCACTTAGCAGAGTCTGCTGATGTTCATAGGGGAGGGGACCTGAGGGGAGGCACAGGGATTGGTCCTGTTGGCATGGTCCCTGATGCTACCGGCTGTCCCCTAGCCGGTATCGCCCACCTGCAGGTGGGGAGGGGACCTGAGGGGAGGCACAGGGATTGGTCCTGTTGGCATGGTCCCTGATGCTACCGGCTGTCCCCTAGCCGGTATGGCCCACCTGCAGGTCGGGAGCAGCCCCCGCATGTTCTCTCGTGAACACGGTTCTGCCGCAAGAGGCAGGGGTATTTACGCAACTCAACAGAGGTAGCAATTCGAAGACCCATCATGGTGGTTGATGGCCCTCCTGCTGTGCGTATGGGACGGCGTCAAAAGCCTCCCAGTCATTGGTGTGAAGGCAAAAATAAAAGTGGACCCGCGCCTGCCGTGTCACTCAGTATCATTTTCTGCTACTAAACCTTGCATGTGGGCCGAGGTCCCTGCTCATTGCACCTCAGCGGCTCTCTTGCAACTACTAGCGCGCGCGGCGACCTTTCTGGCGCCAAGCAGTCGTGGTGGATTTCGTGGGAACGAAGGGGAGGAGGAAGAGGCCACGAGAGATAGGATAGGGAGGGTGTAGGTGCAGGACTTCCGTTGCTTGCTTGCTTGCTTGTTGGGCAGTCCTACCAAGCCATGGCGTTCAAAGGTGAACGACCAGCGATTGGAATCGACTTGGGAATGACGTACAGCTGTGTGGGCGTCTGGCGGGATGACCATGTGGAGATCATCGCCAATCATCAGGGTAAAAGGACCACGCCGTCCTACGTGGCGTTCACGGACACGGAGCGGCTGATCGGAGATGCGGCGAAGAATCAAGTGGCAACGAATCCGACGAACAACATCTTCGACGCAAAGCGACTGATTGGGAGAAAGTTCAGCGACAACTCGGTGAAGAGTGACATCAAGCTCTGGCCGTTCAAGGTCATCGATGGTCCAGGCGGGAAGCCTCTGATTGGTGTGTCTTACCTGGGGGAAAAGAAGCAGTTCGCGGCAGAGGAGGTGTCCTCCATGGTGCTGAGGAAGATGAAGGAGGTGGCGGAGTAGTCTCTCGGTGTGACTGTGGAAAACGCCGTGATCGCTGTTCCCGCCTACTTCAACGAGGCGCAGAGGCAGGCCACGAAGGACGCCGGTGCCATCGCCGGTCTAAAGGTGATAAAACTCATCGACGAGCCGACGGAAGCCGCCATCGCCTACGGTCTCGACAAGATGGAGAGCGGCAAGAAGAACGTCATGGTCTTCGACCTTGGTGGCGGCACTTTGGATGTCTCCCTGCTGACCATCGAGGACGGCAACGTCCACATCACGGCGATGGCCGGAGATAGCCATCTCGGAGGCGACGACTTCGACAGCCGAATGGTGAACCACTTCGTGCAGAAGTTCAAGAGGATGCAGAAGGAGGATATCAGTGGGAGTGCTAGGCCGTTGAGCATGCTAAGGAATGCCTGCGAGCGTGCCAAGAGAGCTCTGTCGATCGCCGTGCAGACGACTGTTGAAATCGACTCAATCTTTGAGGGTCTCGATCTCTACTCGACTATCACGAGAGAGCAATTCGAAGAGCTGAACCGGAACTTGTTCCCGCGGTGTATTGAGGCTGTGGAGAAGTGCCTGCGGGAGGCGGGGATGGGCAACCACTCAGTCGATGAGGTGGTGTTGGTCGGCGGCTCCGCTCGCATTCTCAAGGTCCAGCAGCTAATCCGAGCCTTCTTCGACGGCAAGGAGCTGCGCAAGAGCATCAATCCTGAGGAGGCCATTGCCTACGGCGCTGCAGGCAAGGGTAACGAGGAGGCATAGGACTTGCTTCTGCTCGATGTCACGCCTCTCAGTCTTCTCGGTCTGGACTCTGGAGTCGGCTGGCGGTGTGATGACTGACAGTGTGTGTGCTGACTCGAGTCGCTGAAATACGACCGACTATCCCCACGAAGAAGGAGGAGGTGTTCTCCACGTACTCCCACAAACAACCGGGCTTGCTCATCATTCAAGTGTTCGACGGTGAGCGATCTCTCGCACCTGTGACAACAACCTGATCGGCAATTTCGACAGCATTCAAGCTGTCGGGTATTCCGCCGGCCGGCGGCTCGAGGCGTTCCTCAGATCACCGTATGCCTCGAACGGAATTTTTTTTAGGGGTAACTTCGTCGCAGTCACCAAAACAGTTTGTAATTGCACTTCAGGCAATCCGGCGAATACAACACCACCCCACGCGACCCCACCCGACCCGAAACGTAGGTCATATACATTCAGCATTACCGGCCCTTTTGCCTCAAGTGCAATTACAAACTCAAACCCTGACTGCGCCGTAGTTTTCTCTTTTTCGTAAGCGTTTCTGCGGAAGACAAGCAAGACGATTGTGGCAGCAAGAAGAACAGATCACGATTACCAACGACAAACAAAGGGTCGTCTGTCGAAGGAGGAGGAGGAGATCGAAAAGATGCTCCCCGATGCGGAGAGAAGTACAAGGCGGCGGACGAAGAGAGAGCACAAGAAGAAGAAGGTGGAGTCGAAGAACAGCTTGGAAAACTACGCGTACAACATCAGGATCATCATCAGGGATGACAAGATTGCGTCCAAGTTCGATGCTTCCGTGTCCGACAAGGAAGACGATCGAGAAGGCGGTGGAGTCGGCTATGAAGTGGCTGTGGACCCCATAACCAGCTGGCAGAGGCCAGACGAGTTCTATGTTCGATGGAAAGATAGATGAAGGAGACGGAGAGGGGGTCTGCAACCCCAATCATTGCGAGGATGTACGCTGCCAGAGGGGCAGCGGCGGTGCGCCTGACAAGGCTGACGTGCCCCAGAAGGTCTCGGCAGGGATGAGCCGCCGACGCCGAGCTCTTCCCCGTGGGCCCGGGCCCAAAATTGTGGCGGTCGATCAATCTGTTGGTTGGGGGGGGGGGATAGGGAAGTGGTAGTAGTAGTAGTAGTAGTAGTGGGCCCAAAATTTTGGCGGTCGATTAATCTGTTGGTTGGGGGGGGGGGGGGGGGGGATTGGAAAGCAGAAGTAGTAGATTCGGTGGCAATTTTTTGTGCTCTGGAAATTCTGGCACCGTGGGGCGCGCGTCTTTCTTTTTTTTTTTTTTTTTTTCAATTTAATTGAATTTTACAAAAAAAGGACAGGCCCCCCATCTATATTCTGGGGGCCATCAGTCCGGTTGCTTATCACCGGCAAGCATAGGGGTTTTGTGACAAGAAAAGGAAAGACCATCATACCCTTGTGGGCGCGTCTTTCTTTTTTCTTTTTTTTTTGTTGGGCGCGCGTCTTTTCGCCACGGCCAAAAAGCGAACTGCTTCTCGTCTCTCTCTTCGGGGCTTGGTCCCACTAGCAAAGAGGGTCGGACCAAATGCCTGAATCTGGATGTGTTCTATGCAGAGATGCATAAAAGCAGTTCAATCTCGATTTCCTGCACCTCTCCACAAACACGTCCAGATGCAGGCATTCGATCGCATCCTCTTTGCTAGTAGGACCACGCCCTCGGTGAGCAGTTTGTACGTTTCTTGTGGTTGTGGATACGATTACCATAGCAATATGCCCGGCGTTAGTCGTTTGATTGCGATTTTTTTTTTGCTTCCAGTGCCTGCACCAAGATTTCTCACGTCCCTACTTCTTCTGATGTGGAGGTGCTGGATTGATTGATTGATATGCTATTACTGTATGATGACATCGTCTCCAATTTTTTTTATTTTTTTCTCTTCTTTTTTAGCAGTTTTGGGCGCTCTATTTGCCTTTTTTCTTCGCTTATCCTCTCACCTGAAATGGAATCTTCCGTCCGCAGTTGATTGCTGTTCAAGGCATTCTTTTTTTTTTTTTTTTTTTTTTTTTTTTTTTTTTTTTCTTCTTTTTTTTTTTTTTTTTTTTTTGCTGTTCAAGGCATTCTACCGGCGGCGGTTGTATGGTCTCATTGACAAGCTTACTGTAGGCTCTTGGTGCGCTTTGAATTCTTTTTTCAATTCTGTTTTAATTAGTTCTCCGTTCCTACTACAGTCTTCCCCCGGTTACAACGTACGGTCATTATAGCTGAATTTGGTGCATCTTTCGGTCTAAATTCAGCTATAATTACCGTACGTTGTCTTCGGGGGAAGAATGTAGTCGTAGTTTCGACGCTGTTGTCCGTTGGTATTCGATCGATCGATTGATCTTTTATAAATGATGATTGAGAAATATGTTGGAAGCAGCATCTGCACGACACGACACGTTTCCTCGCGTGATTGATGCCATGGTGTCAGTCTAGACTGTTCTCGCCGGGGGCTTGCTTAGACTTGGTTTTTTTTTTTGTGCCTGCTGTTGCCATTTTTCAGGATCATCATCATGATGATGATGTTCATTCACAGATTCTCGATGTCTTCTTAAGTGCTGGTTTCGTCTGTGGGTCTCCGTGCTTCGTTTCTTGCTCTCTCTGCTGTTACTGCTGCTTAGGTGGGTCTCCGTGCTTCGTTTCTTGCTCTCTCTGCTGTTACTGCTGCTTAGGTGATGTTCATTCACAGATTCTCGATGTCTTCTTAAGTGCTGGTTTCGTCCGTGGGTCTCCGTGATACCAACAGCCTTCCTTCAGGACATCCGTTAAAATTGGAACGATACAGAGAACATTAGCATGCCCCGCCTGCGTAAGGATGACACGGATAATTCGAGAATCGGTCCAAAAACCCAAAATAAATAAATAAAAGATACCATCAGTGTTACTCGCCATTTGGATTCAAAGTTCAGTCCGTATTTCAAGTGTTCATGGCTGTACCCATTTAGTTAGGCTCATGGGTGGTAATTATTTCTGCTGACAAGGGAAGGGATTCAATCCAAATATCAACCTGCTGAAGATAAAAAAAAAGAAAAAGAAGAGTGCAATGGTGCGCATCTGGTGGGTCGGGGCTCGAAAACGCTGAGGCGCATTATTTTCATCAGAGAACGAATCAATCACTCACTCGCGCACTCAATCAAGCAATCAAGTAAGCAAGCAAGCAAGCAATCACTGCTGTATCCAAAGTGAAAGTTTCACCAGATACGACTATAATGATCGGGCGTTCGTTCGACTCGGTTGAAAAGGGTAGCACTTTCGTAAATGTGTCTGACTGCAATTACGTCCAAGCCCAAATGCATCTGACCGCAATCACATCCAGGGCTACTCCAGAAAGTCCAAGCCCAAATGTTTGATTATGCTCAGTGTGATTACGCTGTTACAGACAATTTGTGCCCTCGGGTCTGGAGCTTCATTCGCCTTCAACGAACACCGCGGCCTTCGGTAATGAAGAAAGAGAGCAGACCCTGTGCTCAAATCTGCGGTGCTCGTTGAAGTCGAGAAAGAAATTAGAATATGCAGGACGGATTAATCTGACCACGATTTCAAAACTATCACGGATGAATCCGACGACAATTTGAAAACCAGCAGGGATGAATCTGAACACAAATTACAGGACTGCWATCGGGACCAGCCTCGAGACAGTGGGCTCGGCGACGACAAGGAGGATGGAGATGGTACTGATTTGGCCTCCGTAACCATCGTTCTCGTTTTCGCTGTGCATCCAATTCTAATAGAGAAGAAAGAAAGAAAGAAAGAAAGAAAGAGAAGGGTTAATTGCAAAAAGATTGCTTTCTCCAGGTTTCTTTGCAAAAAATAGAGTTTTCGTTGCAGCGTTACCGGGTTCCCATAGTTTGCCAGCAAAAGTGAAACACAGCGTTTTGCCAAGTTTCACAGCAAATGACCCCCAGGACTCTGGCCTCGGGTACTCAGGGACTCAGCGTTCTGGCCTCAGGGACTCAGGGACTCAGGGATGCATCATTTTGTTTTTCCAACGTTTTTTTTCAATTGTTTTTTTTCCCCACGGGCGTGGCCGAGGCATCCCGTCCATGGGCACGCACGAGTTAAAAAAAAAAAAAAGCTTCTCGACGCTGAGTACCTGAGGCCAGAAGGCTGAGTCCCTTAGGCCAGAAGCCTTGGGGTCCTTCGCTGTGAAACTTGGCAAAACGCAGGATTTTTTTTTTTGCTGGCAAACTATGGGAACCCGGTAACGCTGCAACGAAATCTCTATTTTTGTAAAGGCAACTTCGAACGGACATTTTTTTTGCTGCCAAGCCTCGAGAAAGCAATATTTTTGCAATTAACCCAAGCAAGAGAGAAAGGAACGAAACGACAGGAGGAAACGAACCGCCCAAAGCATGGAAACGCAAAAAAAAAATCGAGACGAAGGAAAGAAACAGCGCGAAAAGAAGCAATGAAAAGGAGAGTACGACGGAAAAGGAAAGGCAACGTAACTTAATAAACATACAAAAAAAGAAGGCAAAAAAACAACTTTCAAACTTCTCTTAGTCTCCTGGATGTACATAAGCGCAATCACGTCGATAGCGACATGGAAACGTCACCCAGTGTGAGCACGCATTTAGTGGAGTAGGGGACAGAGAAACTGACTCACCCATCCCGGTGCAGAATGTGACCGCACTGAACGTATATATTGTTGTCGCCCTTGCGAATGAGCTTGACGGTCGGGACATCTTTCTCGTGACCATAGAAGTAGAAATCGCAGTCCTTCAGCGGACTCCCGCAGGATCCTGCGCAACTGCTGCCATTGCAAGCAGGCGGAGTMGGAGGCGATGGCGGTGATGGCGGTTTGCAGTCGTCCCCGTTACAAGGAGGCGGCGATGGCGGTTCGCAGTCGCTACCATTGCAAGGACGCGGAGTCGGAGGCGATGGCGGTGATGGCGGTTTGCAGTCGTCCCCGTTACAAGGCGGCGGCGATGGCGGCT